ACAAGTCAAACTACGGTCAACTTTTACAACTTAAACCTCCAACTTTGTGACTATGTGTCCCATTTCACTTCGAAACTCACCCGAAACCAAAACCAAATACCCCAAAAAGTCATGTAACCACAATATAACAGAGAGGAGCAAATAAATAGGGGATCGAGGCTAATACACTCAAAGCGAATAGACGGGTCGTTACATATAGTTGATATCAAAGGAATTAGTCCAGTTATTTGCACGCATAGGATCCTTATGAGGGATAATTACAAGCCAATATTCCAACCCGAAAGGAGACTGAAACCAACAAAGCAATAAGTCATCAAGAAAGAAGTTGTGAAACTTCTAGCAGCATGTATCATTTATCCAATATTTGACAGTTCTTAGGTAAGTCCTGTGCAAGTTATACCAAAGAAAGGAGGTATGACAGTAGTAAAAAATGAAAATAATGAACTCATACCTACTCGAACAGTTACAGGATGGAGAGTCTATATTGATTACAGACGACTTAATGATGCCACAAGGAAATATCATTTTCTTTAACCTTTTATTAACCAAATGCTTGAAAGAGTTGCAGGCCATGGTTTTTATTGTTTCCTTGATGGATATTCTGGGTATAATCAGATACCAATTGCTCCAGAAGATCAGGAGAAAACTACATTCACATGCCCCCAAGGTACGTATGCTTACAGAAGAATGCCATTTGGACTTTGTAACGCTCATGTTACATTTCAGCGTTGTATGTCGGTAATTTTCTCATAAAAAGTTTCTTGAAATTTTCATGGATGATTTCATACTTATTGGTAAGATATTTGAAGATTGTCTCTGTCATTTAACTTTGGTGCTTAAAAGATGTGAAGAGACAAATTTAGTTCTTAACTGGGAAAATATCACTTTATGGTAACATAGGGAATTATTTTAGGACATAAAATCACTGCTAACAGAATTATTATAGCAGGATTACCCCCTCCTACTACTGCTAAAGTAATTGGAAGCTTTTTAGAGCATACAGGGTTTTATATAACGTTCATAAAATATTTTTCAAAGATTTCAAAACCTCTAACGAACCGATTGTTGAGATACGTGAAGTTTGAATTTTCAGATGATTGCAAAAAGGCAGTTGAGATTCTCAAGAAACAGTTGACTATTGCTCCAATAGTTATTTTTCCTGATTGGAGCCAGCCATTTGAAATAATGTGTGATGCAAGTTATATAGCAGTTGGAGCGATATTGGCAGAGAAGAGAGACAAGAGTTTTAGGCCTATTTACTACGCCAGTAGAACCCTCAATGAAACTTAAAAGAATTATTCCACAATGGAGAAGGAGCTACTTGCAGTAGTATTTGTATTTGACAAATTTAGTTCCTATTTGATAGGAACGAAGGTTATAATATTTACTGATCATGCTACTTTAAAGTACCTCTTAGAAAAGAAAGACGTTAGACCCAGATTGCTATGATGAATACTATTTTTGAAAGAATTTGATCTTGAAATAAAAGATAGGAAATGTTCAGAAAATCAGGTAGTTGACCATTTGTCATGTTTGGAAAATCCTCCAATTGAGACAACAAATATCAAAGAGGAATTTCGTGATGAGAATATCTATAAAATTGAAACAGTTGCAAATCAACTGACACTCAAACTGCTGAGTCAGTTCCAGTAGTAAGGAAGTTTCTAGTTGTATTTCCTGCAGACCTACCGTGCATGCCACCCGATAGAGCTATTAATTTCGGTATTGATTTTGTGTCGGGCACTCAGCCCATATCTATTCCATTATATAGTATGACATCAACAAAATAAAAGAAATAGTTGCAGGAGTGCTTGGATAATGGTTTCATCAGGCCTAGTGTTTCATCTTGGGGTGCACCAATACTATTTGTGAAGAAGAAAGATGGTTTCACAAGGATGTGTATTGACTACAAGTCGTTTAACAAGGTTACCATAAAGAATCAAATCCACTATCGCGCATTGATGGTTTATTTGATTAGCTTCAGGGTGGTAGGTTGTTATCAAAGATTGACTTGCGATCAGGTTATAATTTGTTGACGATCAGGGCTTCATATACTCCTAAGATGACTTTTATGACCCGTTATGGGCATTATGAGTTCTGGGTGATGTCTTTTGATTTGAATAATGCCCCAACAACATTCATTTGATAAACACTGTATTCTAGCTTTATTTGGATTCCTTTGTCATTGCGTTCATTGATGATATCTTGGTATATTCCCGTAAAGGGAAGGAATACGAGCATCATTCAAGGATGGTGCTTCAGGTATTGAGGGAGAAGAAGTTGTATGCTAAGTTCTCCAAGTGTGATTTTTGGCTGGATTCAGTGGCATTCTTGGGCTACGTGGTGTCTAGCGATGGGATCAAGGTGGGTAGGAAGAAGATTAAGGCAATTCAAAGTTGGCATAGATCGTCTACTATTACGGAGATAAGGAGTTTCTTAGGTTTGGCTGGTGTGGAAGGGTTTTCATATATAGCACCTTAATTAACTAATTTGAGTCAGAATGGTGCTTTATTCAGATGGTCGGGCAAGTGCGAGGAGACATTTCAGACGCTCAAGGCTGCTTTGATCACGACTCCAGTTTTGGTATTGGACTCAGGATCAGGGATATATATTGTCTATTGTGATGTTGCGCGTGTTGGTATTAGTTGTGTGTTGATGCAGGACGGTAGGGTAATTGCCTATGCATCACGCCAGTTGAATCTCCATAATAAGAATTATCCGATCAATGATTTGGAGTTAGCAGTAATTGTGCACGCGCTCAAGATTTTGAGGCATTACTTATATGGTGTGTCTTATTGTGGTGTATATGGATCATCAAAGTCTCCAGCATATTCTTAAATAGAAAATTTTGAATTTGAAGCAGCGAAGATGGTTGAAGATATTGAAAAATTATGATATCACTATTCTTTATCATCTAGGGAAGGCTAATATGGCAACAAACGTCTTGAGCAGAAAGACGGAGAAAATGGGAAGTTTAGCATTCATTTCGGCTAGGGACAACCCTTTATCTATGGATTTTCAAGAGTTGGCCAATTGATTGGTGAGATTGAATATTTCGGAGCCGAGCAGAGTCCTTGCTTGTATTGTTTCATAGTCATATCTGTTTAAGCACATTAAGGTGCATCAGTATGATAATCCCCATTTGCTTGTCCTTAAAGACATGGTGTAACAGGGTAGTGCTAAGGAGGTTACTAGTGGTGATGATTGTATATTGCGACGTTAGAGTCGAGTTTGTGTTCCCAAAGTCGATAACTTGAGAGAGTTGATTCTTAGTAGGCTCATAGTTCATGGTATTCTATTCATCTTGTTGCTAAGAAACTGTATCGTAATTTATAGTAGCCTTATTGGTGGAGAAAGATGAAGAAGGACATTGTTGGGCATGTTGCAATGTGTTTGAATTGTGTACAAGTCAAGTATGATCATCAGAGATTACGTGGTTTGCTTCAGAAGATTGATATACGGGAGTGAAAGTAGGAGTATATTACTATGGACTTTGTGGCAGGGTTGTCATGGAACTTGAGGAAGTTTGATGTTGTTTTGGTAAATATGGATCGGCTGACCAAGTTGGCGCATTTCATTCTGGTTATGACTTGTTACGCTTTAGTGCAGTTGGCTAAGATCTATATTCAAGAGATTGTCCGCTTGGATGGTGTACCTGTTTTTATCAATTTGGATCGAGGCAATCAACTTACTTCACATTTATAAAGGGTTGTTCAGCGTGAGCTGGGAACACAAGTTAAGTTGAGTACCACATTTCATCCTCTGAGCGGACCATTCAGATCTTGGAGGATATGTTTAAGGCCTACATTATTGACTTCAGAGTCATATGGGATCAATTTCTACCTTTAGAAGGGTTTGTCTACAACAATAACTACTAGTCTAGCGTAAAGATGGCTCCGTATGACGTATTATGTGGGAGGCAGTGTCGTTCTCCGGTCGGTTGGTTTGAGCATTGGGAGGTTCCGTTTTTGGGCACAGACTTGGTTTGTGATGTATTGGAAAAGGTAAAGTTGATTCAAGAGAGACTTTACACAGATCAGTCCAAGAAGAAGATTTATGCGGATAAGAGAGTTTGTGGCTTTTATAAAGGGTGAGAAAGTTCTTCTTAGAGTTTCTCCTATGAAGGGCATGATGAGGTTTGGAAAGAAGGGCAAGTCGAGCCCTCAGTATATTAATCCATTTGAGGTGCTGGAGAGAGTTGGCGAGGTGACTTACAGTCTTGGTTTGTCTTCGAGTCTTTCGGGAGCTCATTCGGTATTTCTTGTTTATATGTTTCGGAAGTATCATAAAGATACGTCACATGTTTTTGACTTCAACACAGTGCAGTTGGATGAGAATATGGCTTATGAGGAGTCGGCGGTGTTGACACTCAAATTTAACACTCCCTATTTAAAATTAACTTCTTCATGCTTACCAGTAAAAAATGATAAAAATATAAATTTTTGCACATTATTTGACATTAATGCAATTTATTGGTAATTACTCTTCTTTTCACAAAATATAGAAATTTTTAACATTTTATTGCATTTGGTTAAATACTACCATTTTGTGCATTTTTATAAATTTCAAATAATTTACTGATCTTAATTTTCAAATATTAGGATATTCTATCAATTTATTGTATATTCACAAATAAAATAATAGTTATTATAACACAATTATAGTAGTTATATTTTAAAATAAATAATACAAGTTTTTCTAATTAAATAATTATATTTTAATTTGTAGCACAGTCCATTAATTACAAGGAAGCCGATAGAATTCTATCTCAAAATACGGATCAAATACAGTCAGGCCCAATGTCTCGTCAATATCTGACGTGATAACACACGTGATGTGACAAGACATCATGATGTGATATGACATCTTTTCATTTTTGACCACAAATCTTTCTTTATATTTTAAATTTATTTTTTTGTTTAAATTGTGTCCACACACTTTCTTACATATACCATTATATAAAAATACTACGCACACTACACAAGAGACCGCCACCAGATTTTTAAGGAAAAAACCTAACTATCTCCTCATTTCCCTAAGTCAGCCGCAAACCCCCATTTGAGCTCTCTCTCCCTCGTTTTTCTCTCTAGCAGATGGCAACATTGCCTAAATCCGATAGCTTTATTATTTAAAATTGTTTGGAATTGATTTCTGTAGCTATGTTTGATATTATTAAGTTATTTTTAGTTACATTCGAGTCGTTGGAGGCTGACTTGCGAGGGAAATTATTTTTGCAGTGTTAATATACCTTGTTTAAGGTAAATATATAGCCTAACTTTGGGTTGAGGGACTAGTTTCTTGAATAGTTGATATTGGATACGTGCTAGGATGGCGTACATGTGAGGGGTCAAGCCCATGTGCGTACACCGGGTCTATCCATGTTCAAGGTAGTCTATAGGCTATTATACCTTGTTTTGAATATTTGTGATTCTTGCTATCATGCTTTATATGTTTAACGACTACATGACTTTGTGAATCATGCTAGAGATCATGTGTAAGCTTACTTTTCAGATTGAACTTGATGTTTGTTGTTGTGTAGTGTATACCCCCTGATTTGAATCATAGTTATACACTTTGCATATATATACACCTTAGCATACTATTTTATCAGTCCCAAGATATGTGATGTGGTATCCACTGGATGCATACATAGATCCTTGTATATGCTTTCTATGTTATGAACTGGCTTGACATCATATGAGTTGTTCGTGTGGGTTGAGTGATTATGGCACCTGGGTTGTCTATGCGGTTATGTCACGTGATTTGTTCATGTAGCGTATGGATAAGGATCCATCCCCTTAGCGTCCGCTCATGTTTCTCCTTGACTACTTACATACCGTTATGGAAAACTGATCAGTGATGGATTTTTTTGTATCTTCCCTCTATGCAAACGCCTTGCGTGTATACATAATTTTTACTGTGTATCTCCTCCATATGTTTGCTCCAGATTATTATAGATGCCCTTTTTACGCATATCCTTTCTATATACTGATGAAAGGATACTCAGTACATATCTTCTCTATCTCTCTCTATGTAATTGACTTATCCATTTATGCATATCTTCTCTATATATAATTGTTATTCCATTTGATGCTAGTCCATATCTTCTCCATTACACCATATGCCTTATCTCTATTTTATGCGTAGATTCCATTATTGTTGCTGCGTGTATTTGTATTCATGACTTGTACAGATATATCACATGAGTATCATTGGTGATTCTTGCCGCTACCCTTTCGAGGTTAGTCATGATACTTACTGAGCACATGAGATCAGTTATACTTATACTACACTCTGTATTTAATTGTGCAGATTCGGGAGTTGGACCGAGTTGATCTTTGGTGATGGTGGTTGTCGCTGTGGAGACCAAGATAGAGTCTCACCCTAATCACAGTCCCTAACATCCCCTTCTATCATCGGTTTACTATATTTGATTCAGACAATACTTTTTATTATTATATTTGTACTCTTGTAATAGAGCTCATGACTTAGTATTACCAGTTCAGGGGAATTTATATATTATCACAGTCTTTATCTATGGTTATTAGACTCAAAGCATTATTATTATTATTATTATTATTATTATTATGTAATTTGTTATCATGTTTCGTTATTATTTTATATTTGGTTTGCGTAGCAAGTGGTTTAGATGCCATCACGTCGATTGAGGTTTTTGGGCCGTAATACTGTTTGATTAAATACAATTCATGGGAGGAAAGAGAGAAAGAAAGCAAAAGAATAATAAAGAAAGAAACACATTTCACCTACCATAATATGGTAAAAGGAGTTGACAAAAAAAAAACAAGATTTTTAGGATTTTAAAAAAAATAGGAAGATACATAAAGGGAAATGTCTGAAAAATTAGATGAAGTGGATGGGAGGTAAGAGTGAAAGAAAGAAACAGTTTCGCCAAAAATAAATATAGATTGTTTGTTCTTTACTACTCCCTCCATTTCAAAATAGATGAGGTACTTTTCTTTTTAGTCCGTTCCAAAATAAATGACTCATTTCTAAATTTGGAAATAATTCAACTTTAAACTCTTCATTTTATCCATTTTACTCTTAGGGTGTGTTTGTTATGAAGGAAAACATTTTCCAAAATTTATTTTCCAATTTTTCTATGTTTGGTTGCCTTAAATGTTTTGGAAAATTTTTTCCTCATTAACTCATTTTCTTCCAATTAGAGGAAAATATTTTCCCTATCAAAAGAAGGGAACATATTTTTCAAAACTCTTTTTTAATCTTCCTCCCATTCCTCATCCCCACCCTTACACTCCCACCCCAAC